TATTTCTAGGAGAGAGAGAGACAGCGTGAGCAGGGGAGGGTCAGAGAGAGAGGGAGTCACAGACTGAAAGAGGCTCCAGGCTCTGAGCTGGCAGTCAGCACAGAGCCCGACGCGGGGCTCGAACCCACGAACCGCGAGATCATGACCCAAGTGAAAGTCGGACGCTTAACCGACTAAGCCACCCAGGCGCCCCGAGAAAAAATATTTTTAAGTTTATTTATTTTGAGAGAGAGTGTGCACACAAGTGGGGGAGGGAGAGAGAGAATTCCAGTCAGGCCCTGTGCTGTGAGTGCAGAGCCGGATTCAGGGCTCAGTCCCACAAACCGTGAGATCATAACCTGAGCTGAGATCAAGTGCCATCCAATCAGTTTCTCACCCTATGAGGAAAAAAAATATTAATGTGGAAAAACAATTATTTTTATTATTTTTAAAAATTTTTAATGTTTTTTATTTATTTCTGAGAGAGAGAGAGAGTGTGAGCAGGGGAGGGTCAGAGAGAGAGGGAGACACAGAATCCGAAACAGGCTCCAGGCTCTGAGCCGTCAGCACAGAGCCCGAAGCAGGGCTCGAACCTACAAACTGTGAGATCATGACCTGAGGCGAAGTCAGATGCTTAACTGAGCCCCCCAGGTACCCCAGAAAGTTGGAAAAATTACAATTACCTCCTCATTCATTCAGTCTCATGTTATTAATTTTCATTATGCTTAAATCCAGTTTTCCTTCTAGTTTTCGAAATTCTTAGCTTAGTTTAGGGTCTTAAGGTTATCAGAAACTTATGCTGCTGGAGGCCGGCTCCAGCACGTCCAGGGGTCCCTGAAGGATGGACGGTGTCGATGAGAGGGAGTGAGAGAGCCCCGAGATTCTTTCTGATCACCAGGCAGGCATCTCTGCTCTGACTGGGGCTCAACTTTATTTTAACTGTTTTGGAGATGGCACAGCACAGAAGTGGCATTTGCTTTAGACAATGATTTCTGACAACAAACTTCTTTGATATGTAAGAGTTTCCCAGAACATAGTTTTGTAGAAGACTCATGCATAACTTTTATCAATAGCAATTGAGGTAGGGGGATTTAGATGCTTATCTTATGGGGAAGGAAGGCATCTTTAGCATACCAGACAATGTTTTTAGCATAAGACGGTGAAGTTACTTCTCTGTGAGCTGGGGTCAAACAGGTCTTTCAGGAGATTCCTCAATAGGTTCCTTCACAGGGAGTAATCAGCATATACAAGGCCAGAAAATGCTCCAGGCAGAAACAAATGGGTGGGGGTAGATATCTGCCCTTAACTCTAAATTGGGCTCTTTGCCTCAGGGCCAGACTTAAGCCCCCTTTATTATGTAAGTTTTGGATCTGCAAGACCCTTAGCAATAGCCTTTTGACAATCATCTTTGGAAAGGCGAGGACATGCCTTTCCTTTATGAGCAATGTGTGTGGGGAATATCGGTCTGATCTGGAATATTGTGAGGCCTGGTCAATACCAGCAGCCTCATTTACAATACGAGCCAGTAGTAGCAGAAGGAGATACCAGTTTCCTTGCGGTGACTGTCATCCAGAGAGGCCGGTGCGGCTGCCGGCATTATACTCTGAGGTTTTCTATGAATATCATTGAATGTGAAACACATTTGCAACATCATCAGAGTAAAACAGTAACTGTAAATGACCACACTTAAAAATAGCCATGGTCAGAGACGTGATTAGAGTTAATTACAATGTAATTGACAAGAAAGTTTGGTTATGGGGGCACTTAGGTGGCTCAGGTAGTTAAGCATCTGACTCTTGATCATGGCGCAGGTCACGTCATGATCTCATGGTTTGTGAGATAGAGCCCTGAATCAGGTTTTACACTGACAGAGCAGAGCATGCTTGGGATTCTGTCTCCCTCTCTCTCTGCCCCTGCCCTGCTTGCTCTCTCTTGCTCTCTTAAAAAAATATAAACACTAAAATTAAGGAAGAAAATTTGGTTGTCTGTGATACACAACATTTCAAGTTAATAATATACCAGGACCTCAGATTTCTAGAGGTTTCATACAGTTTTTAGAATTATCCTAATATCATATCTACACAAATATAATCTAAGAGGATTTAGTATCACTTATTTGATAAGGTCTCTCATGTAATTTAATATACTAATTAAGCCTAATTAGTTTAATGTCTCATACAATCTTTGGAATGTTCCAGGAACTCTCTGGAACATGTCAGTGAGACTGTGGTCAAAAGACTTCATTTTAGACTGTGATTTTGGGAAGTATGTCAAAAAACTATTAAAAGGTTTGAAAATGTGATTAAAAAGAATCATAAGATATTATGAAACAATATTTATCCATTTAACCAAAGTGACAATAAAAGATATTAAAGGCAAATACAGAAGGTTACAGAGTAGTGAGCAAAATTCAGCTTTTTTAATATTAAGAATCAATTTTTTCTTTTTTTAAGTAATCACAGGTCTGATAAAAATAGGAAATTATTCTGACAAAACAGAATCCTTGCTTTTTTTTTTTTTAGGCAGATAATTTTAAAGATAAAGAAAAAGTTTTGTTTACAATTTCTTACTATGAGCAGACAAATAGGGGAGCCTGGGTGGCTCAGTCGGTTGGGTGTCTGACTTCCGCTAAGGTCATGATCTCATGGTTTGTGAGTTCAAGCCCTGAGTTGGGCTCCATGCTGACAGCTCAGAGCCTGGAGCCTGCCTTGGATTCTGTGGCTCCCTCTCTTGTCTGCCCCTCCCTGGCTTGTGCTCTGTCTCTCTCTCAAAAATAAATAAACATAAAAAAAAAAAAAAAGATGAATAGTTCAAGAAAACTTAGTCCTTTTAACAAAGAGAAAACATGATTTTAATTTTCAATATTAAAGTTCATTTACTTACTTTAATTTATCTTAATCTTAGTCAGTACTGACCACAGATAAAATTCCTTTCAAAAGATTCTTTATCTATAAATCTTTTTAAATGTTTTTTACATTCACATTTTGTCCTCTGTTTCAATAACTGGCCCCATTTTAGGACAGCATTATTTTCTTTCCCTCAACAAAAGTATATTTCTATTTCTTATGCTACTTTTTACCAAAAACACATATCTTGGAGCACCTGGGCGGCTCAGTCGGTTAAGTGTCCGACTTTGGCTCAGGTCATGATCTCATGGTTTGTGGGTTCTAGCCCCGGGTCAGGCTCTGTGCTGACAACTAGCTCAGAGCCTGGAACCTGCTTCACATTCTGTATCTCCCTCTCAATCTGACCCTCCCCTGCTCATGGTGCCCCCCTCCTCAGAAATAAATAAAATGTTTAAAAAAAATTAAAAAAAAACAAAAAACAAAAACACGTATCTTGTTTTCCTGTATACAGAGTTGTTTCCCTGATTATCTGCAGTAGTCTTATTTACATTTATTAGAATTCAGAGCTTTTAGAAACCTTAGTTTCTAGTGAAAACGAAGTAGTAAGCAATTGTGAACCATCAGTTATATGATTATTCTTTACATTAGCAAACTTCTGAATATATTTACTAATTTTATACTTGTGCTTCTTTCACAGTACAGTATCTCAACAAAGCACAAATCAAGTTTACTAGCAGACCCATATTTATCTTTAGTTTCTCTGTGATAAGACAAAAATAGATAAACTTCTGTTTCATACCTCATGTTTTATTATTTTATCGTATTTGGAAATGATTTAGGTATTCAATAAATTTAACCTAACTCGTTATTTAACTTAGCAAAATTTTAAAGTTTCATGTTACCAAATATTTTGAAATACCTTAAAAGTTTACTTACCTTTTTATTTTATTTACATCTACTTAATTTACTTGTTTCTAACAATTATGTTTAGATTAGTCACAAAACTTTATGAGGCATTAGACAAAGTCAACCATGACTGTGGATATTTTTTGGACAAATTTTGCAAGAGAGATAATGAATTTATTGACTTTCAGTGAACATAGGCAGACTAAAAGTTTTAAATGTAATGCTGGTAACTCTAAAAACGTGTATTTTAATTTAACCAATAGCCTTAAATTCATTTTAATATTGAATATTTTCCCAGATCATGTGAACTTGAAAAACTTTTGGGTTAGTTTCTGTCTTTCTGAGTTTTAGATGCCCAATCTTACAAGCACTTACCTTCAAACCAACCACATAGAGCTTTTTTACAAGTTAATTTTGGCAATACTAGCCAGAGGTAGCGAAAATACCTGACATTTACAACATATATGGACACACATACACAGACAAGATGCAATAAAAAATTTTATAGCTTGCTTTTACTAACATTTGTGGAGAGAACATTAGTGGCTCAATTTTCTTTTTTCTTTTTTTTTTTTTCTTTTTACGGATAGTTTATTGTCAAGTTGGTTTCCATATGACACCTGGTGCTCATTAGTGGCTCAATTTTCAAATGCCTTCATTTTTTTTTTCCTGAGGAAAATTTTCTCCCTAAAATTTGCATTTCAAAGAATGACTTACATTCTAGAAAGGATGAGAGTTTAACATTTACATCACAAAGGCAGAGTATCCAAGTTTTCTCCAAGGTTGAGACTTGGAACATATCTGCCTGTTATCAGAGCTGCTAGAGTCTGGGCTTAAGAGCCCAGGGCTTTCAGCAATTTGCATTTTAAAAAGGCCTCTCCTTCCCCAGTCCCACAGTCCCACACCTCCCTTTTTTCCCCATTCTTGAGTGATGGTAGGCACTGTTTACATTTTATTTTATTTGTTCTTAAAAAATGCTCATTTGGGGGGGGAGGAGCCATGAGAGAGGGGGACAGAGAATCCGAAGCAGGCTGATGTGGGGCTCGAATTCATGAACCATGAGGTCATGATCTGAGCTGAAGTCAGAAGCTTAACTGACTGAGCCATCCAGGTGCCCCTATTATTTTTTTTATTTTTAATTAAAAAAAATCTGGAATGCTTCATGAATTTACATGTCATCTTTGCGCAGGGGACATGCTAATCTTCTCTGTATCGTTACAATTTTAGTACGAGTGCTGCGGAAGTAAGCACTCTCTTTACATTTCAAAGACATAAGATTTATTTTGATTTCAGGGGACAGAGAATCTAAAAAACTTTTTCTCTTAGAATTTCAGGATAATTGTTATTTTTAAATGTCCTTTTTTCTCTTAAGTACAGGACAATTTTGTTCCAATATCCTGACTTTTTATAGTATTTACAAACATATTGAGAGGAATAGGTGAGGTTTAGGGAATGGTAAAGATGGGTGTGTTTTGATTGGTTTCTAGAGTTGCATTTCTGGTTTTGTAGAAATTTGTAAGACAGTTATTTCTAATTGTCCAAAGAACTAGATTATATCCTGAATATCAAAGGACTGGCCTACCTTTTTAAGTAAATTTGCTTTTTAATATCAGGGAGATTAAAAAATTATTTTTATTTAATTAATTACTTAATTAATTTTTTTTTACTTAATTAATTTTTTAAATGTTTATTTCTTTTTGAGAGACAGAGAGAGGCTGGAGCAGGAGTAGCGTGAGAGAGACACAGGATCCGAAGCAGTCTCTGCATTGACAGCAGAGAGCCCGATGCGATGCTTGAACCCACGAACTGTGAGATCATGACCTGAACCAAAGTTGGGTGCTCAATGGACTGAACCACTCAGGCACCCTTAAAAATTTTTTTACAGTTTATTTATTTATTTTGAGAGACAGAGACAGTGCAAGTCGGGGAAGGGCAGAGAGAGAGAGAGAGAGAGAATCCCAAGCAGGCTGATAGTGCAGAGCCTGACGCGGGGATCAAACCCACAAAACCAAAAGATCATGACCTGAGCCAAAACCAGGAGTTGGATCCTTAACTAACTGAGGCACTCAGGTGCCCTCGTATCAGAGAGATTTTTAAAATAGGAATCAAAAGACTGATGCTTTTGTCAAGTTTGGAAAGAGCATTTTAACAAAACCCTTTTTTTCTGGGTACACAATTCAAACTTGGCTTCTATTATCCCCTGAATATTGGCTTTTTGCAGATCATTTGTAGGACCTACAAAGAATATTGGTCCCCTTTCCTCTGTGAAGGTGTGGGGGGTTGTGAATAGTCTTAATCTTTCTAATTCCCCTCTAAATTTGGTAGGATCTTCTGAAAGTAGAGGTAAAATGACTTTATGATGTAAATGCTCTGCTGCTGTCCAGGGACACAAATTCTTCTGTGGTGGGGGGTCTAGGACACACCTGCAAAGGACATTGTGTAGGAATGCCTGAAGCTGGCAGAGCCTGATTACAGAGCCCTGGAAGGTAGGAGCAAAGGAAGCCTTATTGCCAGTCTCGGGTGTTTCTGTTCAACTCTTTTCCTGGCTTTTAGCACTGACATGAGCAACGTGCATACTTTGAACCTGCAGATTAGACTGGGTGCTCCCTGTAAACTTGTAGGGAAAGAGAAGTTACAGCAGGCAGATGAAGTTGGATTTTTTTCCCCAAATATTTATTTTTGAGAGAGAGAGAGAGAGAGAGAACATGAGTGGGGGGGGGGGGTGCAGAGAGAGGAGGAGAGAATCCCAAGCAGGCTCCTGGCTGTCAGCTCAGAGCACCATGAGGGCCTCAAACCATGAACTGAGCCAAAACCAAGAGTTGGATACTTTAAAAAGAAATTTAATGTTTTATTTATTTCTGAGAGAGAGAGAGAGAGAGATAGCATGAGCAGGGGAGGTTCAGAGAAGGAGATACAGAATCTGAAACAGGCTCCAGGCTCTGAGCTAGTAAGCACAGGGCCCGATGTGGGGCTCGAACCCACGACCCATGAGATCATGACCTGAGCTGAAGTCGGATGCTTAACCGACTGAGCCACCCAGGCGCCCCAAGAGTTGTATGCTTAACTGACTGAGTCACCGGGTCCCCTCAGTTTTAAGTCTTAAGTCTGATTTTTGTTATTTCATCTTATCAAGAGAGTCCCTAAGGCTAGCCACTATACTAGTAAGACAGTTGAGAGTTCTAGATAAAGATTATTTTTAATATAGCCAATTTAAAGTATCCATCTTCCAGCCATTGATGAGCAGGATCTATTAACAGTGACTCAATCCAATAAGCCAAAATGGTTAATGGTTTAACCAGTGATTCAAGGCATCCAAGGAGGGCATAGATGACACGGCCCCCATGATTCAAAAGTTTACTCCCAATATTAGTCTAAGAAAGCAAAGGCCTTTGTATAGGTGGTGAGGCTGGTGTAGGGAAAATGGTGTCTCTGGTCCTTACAAAATGGTGAGATGCCTTTAGTCAAAGACTCCCTCACCTGTGACACAGATGCTACTAGAATGGAACTTTCCAACACTGACAAGCAACTAAGGTTGAGATGACAAAGGTTTTTCTTTTCTGGAATCTCTCATGACAAACTTACCACAGCCTGCGGGGAGAAGGGAGAAAGACTCGGATCCCCACTCTACTTGACTGATCCCCTGGAGAACTCTGAAAACTGCACCCTTTGAATGGTTCAGACCAAGAATATTCTCACTGGTCACAAAGCCAAGCTCTTAAAAGAGGAGTTCAACTATCTCCATTTTGACCTCAAACTTGTTAATTGATTAAGTTCTTTCCAGCTTATTTCTTAACTCAGACAGAAGATCCTGTGGGCAAAGCATCCCCTGATGGGAACCAAAACTAGCCCCTCTAGCAATAAGGTAAGCCCCCACCCCAGCAAGACTCCGCCCATGACTGACTCCAAGACAGTGATAGATTCGACCTTCACTGCCCACCTGCAGGTACTCATCCACCTTTGCCTCACATTTTCCATATATAAACCTGGAAGTATTTGTAGCACTTTGCAGATACTCTCTGAGATGCTAGTCTGCTGTCTTCTGGGTGGTGTCCTACTAAAGTACATTCCTTTCTTATTCCACCAGCACTCATCTCTGTGCCTTTGGATCTTGTTTGGGACCCCTGAAGCCAGGTGCTCTTGGATCCTTGCATACCAGCTACATTCTTAGAACACAGAACAAGATGAAAGGACAAATCTCTTAGGTGCACATTAACAGCCTTAGCTAGGCCTTGGGTCTCTTGGAGCAACAGTCACTCTAATACCTAGGAGGGATGTATGGGGATTTTGTGTTGTTTTACAGTATATCTCATTGCATGGAAGTTTTCTTGAGATTCAGGGATAACCTAGTGTCAATCTAACCCATTCTGTGACCAACTTTTCCTAACATGGGAGTCTTCTTGAGGTAGTGAGCACTCTAACATCTTTTAAGTGCTCGACCTGTGTCCACCAATTATGCAACTTTGGCTTCCAAGATGTCTCTGAGCAACAGCCTTTATTTCATGTGTGCATTAAAGGACACCAAAGACACAGACAAAAGAAAGCAAAGACCATCTCTGGGAGGAAATGGATCAGGAACCAAAGAGTACTCAAGGAAATTGAACCAAAGAGTAACCTAGCCCAAGAAACTAGTTCCATATGGATTTTCTCCTACTAATCTAAATAAAGAAGGAGAGGGGCGCCTGGGTGGCTCAGTCAGTTAAGCGTCCGACTTCAGCTCAGGTCATGATCTCACAGTTGGTGGGCTCGAGCCCCGCGTCGGGCTCTGTGCTGACAGCTCAGAGCCTGGAGCCTGTCTTCAGATTCTGTGTCTCCCTCTCTCTGTGACCCTCCCCTGCTCATGCTGTCTCTCTCTTTCTCTCTCTCAAAAATATATAAAACATTAAAAATTTAAAAAAATAAAAATAAATTAAGAAGGAGAGAAAAAGACCTCTTACCACTCTGACTCCATGTGCCTCCACACATACAGATTCTGGGAGAATGACATAGTAAGAAATTTCACCTACTGCCGGCTGAATGTCAGATATCCTAAGGATCTCTCAACTACAGCAGTGTCAGGGCAACAGGTGTCAAGCGAGTAGAAAGTATCCTGCAAAATGTGCCAACTATTGGGGAGGAAGAATTTCCTCTGTCGTTCAAGACCCTCAAGCTGGATTAAGAATCAAACTGACATTAGATTCATAGGAGAAAATAAAATTTAATAGTGAATGTACAGGGTATCCACAAAGACATGACATTTGAGTTGTTTCCACTTCTTTACTAAAAAATCATTAAGGTTGTTTATACTAGAAAGTATACTAGAAAGCAAGAATGCTTAGTGATTAATTTCTTTATACCAAACATTCCCTTAGGATAATCTCTTAGAAGTGGAATTTCTGGGTTAACAGCTTTGATTCTGAGTTTACAGGATTTTGCTTGATTCCTTCCTTCCTTTCCTTCCTTCCTTTCCTTCCTTTCCTTCCTTCCTTCCTTGTCCCTGGATGGGCTCAAATGATTTTTCTTCTTATGCTATTATAATCATGCAGTGAACAATGTTTCATATCCTGTTTTATTTTATTTTATTTTATTTATTTATTTTTTTTATTTATTTCTAGGAGAGAGAGAGAGACAGCGTGAGCAGGGGAGGGTCAGAGAGAGAGGGAGTCACAGACTGAAACAGGCTCCAGGCTCTGAGCTGGCAGTCAGCACAGAGCCTGACGCGGGGCTCGAACCCACGAACCGCGAGATCATGACCCAAGTGAAAGTCGGACGCTTAACCGAGTAAGCCACCCAGGTGCCCCTCCTGTTTTATTTTTTAATGAAAAAAAAATTTCCCCATGTTATCACATGTGTTCTATAAAATAATTTTTAAGTTTACTTATTTTTTTAGTAATTTCTATACCCAACATGAGGCTCAAATGCATGACCTGAGATTGAGTCACATGTTCTTCTGACTGAGCCAGCCAAGCACCCCGATTTTTAAATCTTTATGTGGACATAAGGCTGACATAAAGTTAGTCAATTTATTTTTTTAAATATTTTTTTATTTATTTCTAGGAGAGAGAGAGAGAGAGAGACAGCATGAACAGGGGAGGGTCAGAGAGAGAGGGAGACACAGACTCTGAAATAGGCTCCAGGCTCTGAGCTGGTAGTCAGCACATAGCCCGATGCGGGGCTCGAACCGACGAACCGCGAGATCATGACCTAAGCGAAAGTTGGACGCTTAACCGACTAAGCCACCCAGGTGCTCCAAAGTTAGTCAATTTAATCCACCCATTCTACTATTTTGGTTGTGGTACAGTTAGTTTCTAGCTTTTCATTGGGGTAAATCACACTTTTAGGAACATCTCTTTGTAGAAAGTCTAGTGTACATTTAGGATAACTACTTCACAATAAATTCTCAGAAGGAATTACTGTCTCAAAGGACACATACATTTCTGAGGTTAGTTGATAAATATTGCTAAATTGCTTTCCAAACTAGTTATATCAATCTACATTGTAATATGTTATATCTTATACAGGTTAGATATTAGAACAACTTGGTAGGCTGCGGAAAATCTTTCCCTAAAGATCTTTAAAAAGAAAACAAGTTTCCTTCTCTGTGTTCCAGATTAAACTTTCAAAGACATGAGAAATGTATGACAGCTCTTGATTAAAAAGAAAAGACATTTAAATTATAAACACCAGGAATGTTAACATGAACTAGGTGTTCTTGACCTTCTCTATCATATCAGATCTTAGATTTGAATGGTGACTTTCTTTCTAAGTAAAATGCTTTTACATTATCTGTACAAGCAAGGTAGGTTTCTTTTCTATGGACAGGGAAATACTGAGGCACAAAGAAAGTTTTTAATTGATTTTCCTTTTGCTATATAATTTATGCTAAACTCACATCTATAGTTTCATGCCTTAGGAGAACACTTTGCAATGTTAGTAAACTTCAGGTTCATCTCCAGACAGATTAGAGAAACACTTTTTTTTGAGAGAGACAGAGACAGAGACAGAGAGAAAGAATCTTAAGCAGGCTCCATGCCCAGTGCAGAGCCTGACTCTCAGGGCTTGATCTCACGACTCTGGGATCATGACCTGAGCCAAATCAAGAGTAGGATGCTTGATTGTCTGAGCCATCCAGGTGCTCTAACAATAATTTTTATTTATTTTATTTTAATATTTAAAAGTCTTTTTAATGTTTATTTTTGAGAGAGTAAGAGGCAGAGTGCAAGTTAGGGAGGGGCAGAGAGAAGAGGAGACACAGAATGGGAAGTAGGCTCCAGGCTCTGAGGGCTCAGCACAGAGCCTGATGCGGTACTCGAACTCTTGAACCACAAGATCATGACCTGAGTGGAAGTCAGATGCTTAACTGACTGAGCCACCAAAGAGCCCCAACAATTATGTTTTAAAGATGGAGTTCCAAGAAGGAAGGCTCCGTCTAAGGTCTATCTTTACATGAAAGAAGGTATTATAACACAAAAAGAAGGAATTTCTCATACAAAACAAATGATACATGAGTGCCTGGCTGGCTCAATCAGTGAAGCATCTGGGTCTTGATCTTAGGGTTGTGAGTTCGAGCCCCACGCTGGACTACTTAAAAAAACACACACACACCTGGGTGGCTCAGTTGGTTAAGTGTCTGACTTCAGCTCAGGTCATGATTTCATGGTTCGTGAGTTTGAGCCCTGCATCGGGCTCTGGGCTGACAGCTAGGAGCCTGGAGCCTGGTTTGGATTCTGTGTCCCCCTCTCTTTCTCCCCCTCCCCTGTTCACTCTCTGTCTCCATCTTTCTCTCAAAAATAAAATAAACAGGAGCGCCTGGGTGGCTCAGTCGGTTAAGCATCCGACTTCAGCTCAGGTCATGATCTCATGGTTCATGCGTTCAAGCCCTGTGTCAGGCTCTGTGCTGATAGCTAGCTCAGAGCCTGGAGGCTGCTTCAGATTCTGTGTCTCCCTCTCTCTCTGACCCTCCCCTGCGCACACTGCCTCTCTCTCTCTCTCTCTCTCTCAGAAATAAATAAAACATTAAAAAAATTAAAAAGAAATAAAATAAACAGTAAAAAAATTTAAAACACACACACAAAATACCCCCCCAAAAGAAAAAATGCATACAAGCTTCACCCTAATATTTTGCAGTTTATAAGAATCAAGGCTTCCCCTGAGAATCTCTTGAGATGACTTTAAAATGATAATAATGTATTCTTTCCTCTGCAGGAATTATTAAGAACCAGTTTGTGTTATATTTTATTTGGTTTTTAAATTTTTACTTTTATTTATTTAAAGTAAAGTCTACCCTCAACGTGGGGCTTGAACTCAGGACCCTAAGATCAAGAGTCACATGCTCTACCGACTAAGCCAGCCAGGCGCCCCTGTACTATATTTTAAACATCGAGGTGCTTGTTCTAGAGCAGAGTTTCTCAACACTACTGACAATCAAAAGTGTCTCCTGACTTTGTGAAATGTTCCTTAGGGGACACAATCTTCCTGGTTGAGAACCACTGGTGTGGTACACATGGTATATTCAATTCCATTTAATAAACTCTTTTATGTCCAGATGAATGACAGATGGAAAAGATGGACAGCTTGGACACTAACATCTTTGAATAAATATTTTCATATTAATTTCATTTTTTCAACTTGATCTAATACAGTTTGGGAAAATTGTATGTCTTACCACAGCAAATAAATGGAAAGGTAAAATGGAGAGCAATTGCTAAGTATAACATTTTCCAAATCTATAAATAGAATATGTGGGTTCCATATAAATTATGTAAATCTAAAGTTTTCATAATGTAATTATCTGTGAATGACAATATTATATGAGCAAATGGCCTTTTCTGTTTTACTAAGTAAAATACAAGGTCAGATATCTGGGTTTTCTAAGGCATTACAGAAACAATTTGAAAGCTGCTTTGTTTATGAATTCTATTTTCAATCTTGATAATTTAAGTGGCATTTCAAATAGGACAATTTAAAATTCTCAGTACAAACAGGATAAATGACACATTTGAATTAAATCCTTAAGAAAAATCTTGAAATAAAATTAGCAGTCAGTCTTTGCTCTTAAAATTTAAACCACTTATTTTTGAATGGTTTTACAATAATTGTGTCAATAAATTTGGCCAAAAAGTTTTCCTAACATATATTTTCCCTGTTGCAGTATGTCTTTTCTCAGACATTATGAACAACAAAACCTGAGACATCACCAGATCAACCCTCAGGGTTCCATGTTGGGAGCCTCCCTTTAACCCAATATTATAAGGACTTTCTCATATGCTTATGTTCACAAATATGCCTTCTCTTTTTTTTAAATGTTTTATTTATTTCTGAGAGAGACACAGCATGAGCAGGGGAGGGTCAGAGAGAAAGGAAGACACAGAATCTGAAACAGGATCCAGGCTCTGAGCTGGATGTCAGCACAGAGCCCGACATGGGGCTCGAACCCACAAACCGTGAGATCATGACCTAAGCCTAAGTCAGATGCTTAACCAACTGAGCCACCCAGGGGCCCCACTAATGTCTTCTCAATATCTGAGGGAGAATTAGTAAATATTTGGCATAAAACAGTTTCCTCTGAACTGTTTTAAAATTTTTCTTGAATCAGCTAAGATGCTTTCTTTCATCTGTGAATAACAATATCCAACTAAGAGTGGCAGATATAACAGGAAGTTTTAATGTCTTACCTAAGAAGTTTAGAGGTAGATGGTCATACCGGGCTAAACAGTGCTGTCAGTGACCCAGGCTCTTTCCATCCCCATATGTTGCCATTCTCAGCATCTTTGCTTTTCTCTACTGCTTAATGGCTGCAGTATGGTCTCCATAGCTCCAATAGCCTATGAAATGACAGGAAGGAAGAGGTGGGAAAGAAAGCTCTCCTTGAATATCTTGCTTTCATCAGGATGGAAAATCTTTCTAGAAGCATCCAGAGAGAGTGCTGCTGAAAGGCTCACTGACTAAACCTGGGCCACATGGCCAGCATTATGTGCAAATAGGGTGGGAGAGAGTGTATCTGGCATTTTTAGCCTTTATTATAGAAAGCAGACCTTGCCAGAAGGTAAAAGAGAGAGGAACGCCTTTTTGTAAGCCACCAAAAGTGTGTGACAATTGATATTTTGGGAGAATGTCCCTCAGTTTACAAAAGTGTGATGTTACCAAAGTTCTATGAGCATTCTAGTTTTATTTTCTTTTCTTTTTTTTTTTAGTTTTATTTTTTTTTTAAGTTTTATTTACTTTTGAGAGAGAGCAAGCAAGCGTGCATGTGTGGGAAGGGCAGAGAGAAAGAGGGAGACAGAGAATCCCAAGCAGGCTCCATGCTGTCAGCACAATGCCCGATTCCAGGCTCAAACTCATGAACTGTGAGATCATGACCCGAGCTGAAATCAAGTGTTAGAGGATTAACCAACTGAGCCACCCAGGGGCCCCTTTGAGCATTCTAAATAGCTACTTCCTTTCTACATTTCCCATTTTGATCTGAGAATGAAAAATGGAAAAAATGAGATTTAAGAAACCCAATCCAGTTTGACAAATATTTCATACTACATAAAAAACAACCATGAGTAGGTTAAGCAACTTATAAGTAAGTTGCTAAAATAAAAGCCTGCTTGATTTCCCTTTAGTAAGGGAGGTTCTTTAAAATTTCATATGCTGCCTGTTCTCCTCAGAGCTTGCGGATTTGAAAAATGTGCTACTGGTGCTTTTGTAGACACGCAGAGGGAAGTCATTTAATATATTCAACAACTTTACTTTTCAGGTTGCATCCAATTATTTTATGCCACCACTCTCCAAAGTGTGCTAGAGGTCCTGGCTCAGAAATGCGGGTCAATCCCTCAGGTTGCCTGTCTTCTGAGAGCCCTTTCTTGACGTAGAGGTAGGCTGGTTGAAGCATAGCCTTTCCTCTTTGGAGCATATGGCCTCTGCTTTTCAGATATACTTCTTGAACATTCTGTTTCAGCAGTGGGACTGGTGGCCTATGGTCTAGCAGCATCTCCTGTCAGACAAGATGAAGGTCTTTGAGTTTCTTGTGGCTGCTCCTGACCAAGTTACATTTTCTCTTGGGCTCTGAAGCCATGTCTGTCCTTGGCATTCTGCTGCTCCACAGAGGTGGAAGCGTGGGTGTGCTGGTGAGAAAGGAGTGCAGTCTTCTCCTTCGGAAAGTCACTAGTAGGTGGCAGAGATAAAACCTGGACTCAAAATATTTCTTATTCCATTTCTCCTCTTTTTGTCCCTTAATGTTTTTAGGAACTATGTAATAATTAGCATGGCAAGTCAAATGCATCTTCAGCACCCTCAGATAACATCAGGAAGGGATGATCAATCAACCAAAGAGTTCATTTTTTACCATAATGTGATGAGTCACTTTTAGGTTTCTCAGGGGAGGAAAAAAAAATTACAAAACTTTCACTTACCTCCTAATACTAAAAGATTTCTTCCTCTTTTACTTTAATGTTTAAAAAAAAAATCTTTTTTTTTTTTACATTTTTATTTATTTTTGAGAGACCGAGACAGTGTGCGAGCAGAGGAGGGGCAGAGAGATGGAGGGAGACACAGAATCTGAAGCAGGTTCTAGGCTCTGAGCTGTCAGCACAGAGCCCAACGTGGGGCTTGAACCCATCAACTGTGAGATTGTGACCTGAGCCGAAGTTGGGTGCTTAATCCACGGAGTCACCCAGGCACCCCTCCTCCTACCCTCTAAGGTTAATGATTTGATGCTTGCAAATTAAACTGACAAAAGGCAGATGAGCAAGAGAAAAAAGAGATTTATTTACACATACAGCACGAGAGTTCACAAAGAACTGTGATTCAAGGCAGTTAGAATTTGGGGCTTATCTGCCATCTAATAGGGGATGAATATGGACAGAAGGTCACTTCTGGGAGAGTAAATGACTTTTTGGAAGGATGAAAAAGGGCACTTATGAAAAGACAGACAACTTTTTGGAGAGATGAACAGGCCCTCAGAAGAACTGGTAGAAGATGTGACAGTTTTGTACCAACATCTGTTTGAAAAGAGTAGGGGTGCTCCTGGGGAGGAGACTTCCGACAATTCCTTTGCTTTTAGGCAGGTGAGGCATTTAGGAACTCAAATGCCTTCAGCTCAAAATCATTTTTATGCCATAGTACCTTGTCCTAGACGCTTTCAACTTCTATACTCAGCCCTGTTTTTCCTGAGAACTTAGGTGAACAGAATATTCTCAAATCAGAAATTCAATGCTATTATCCCAGAGCTGAGCACTCTGTACCTCTTCTTCAAGTGCCTCTGCCACTAGAAGTGAGGTTGGCTCCACTGCTCCTGGCAGCTGTGTGAGGACTCCATCTTACTCCAGAAAGATTTCTGGAGCACCTACTCTGTTCCAAGCACTGTTCTAGACATGTGGGATTCAAGGTAACTGTATCTACATCCATGTTTCCTCTTCCCCCCTCTTAGACAGGGCATCCCTCTTGCTGAAGGCTACTTACTGCTCTACTTGTACTTTAGATGCCAACTCCTGATGGGTTCTTCCCATCAGCACCAAAATCATACTCATAATTTTCCCACTGCTAAAACAATGACAAAAACGACACTTTCTTTTACATCCTTCACCAAGTCCCATGAGCTTTCTTCCCACCCCTTCCAAATGAAACTTCTTGATGGCATTTTCTGCATTTGTGGTCTCTCCCTGCAGCTGCACCCCCCACTCCTCCACCCACTACAACCTGGCTCAGCTATGAACTCCTGCTAAAGCCCAAGGGCACTTGGCAGCCTCTCTCAGTAACAGCTCATGTTATTGACATGTTCTTGATATATTCTCTTCCCTTTGTTTCTCTAATACCAACTCTCACTTGTGGTTTTCTTCCTAATTTTCTAAAGCTCATTGTTTCCTCTTCTTTGTACTCTTTTAACCTAAATACTAGGGTTCCTGAGACCTCTATCTCAGGACACCTTCTTTTTCATTCTTCTACCTTCTCCCCAGTCTATCCACGCCCATGGGTTGAATTACATATTTGGAGTGCGTCAGCTCATACATGGTGTCTCCAACTAATTTCTACTGAGTTCCAGACAATATCCAACAATCCACTTGAAGTTCTCCCAGGCAGTCAAAATCAAGAGTTCCAAATTGAACTACTCCTTTTTTTGCTGTTCCCTGGCTGCTAATGGCATTGCCATCATTTAATTGTCCAAGCCAGAAACTTGAAGTCTTCTTGACTCCTTCCTGAACCTAAACTACACAAAACCATCAAATATTTTTGAGTTTGTCCTCTTCTCTTTCAAACTTCTACTGCCACCATCATCAGCACTTGCCAAGATGACTAAAAGAGTCTACTAACCAGTTTCATTGCCACCAGACTTGCCTCTCACCAATCTATGCTTTATCCTTAGTCAAGATGATCCACTGACATGTAAATCTGATTATGGCACTCTCTTGCTTGAAACCTTCAATGACTCCCCATTTGCAATTAGGCTGAAGTCCATAACATATTTCTTTTTTTTTTAAAAAGACACATTTATTCAGCGTCATGATCAGACTATTACATTTAGCAATCAACAGCATGGGTGCAAAAAAAAAAAATCTACATTAAAACCCTTTGTTGGAATGCTTTACACTTTCCACAGAACAGAAACTAAAATAACCTGTTATACAATTAGTCACAAATACAGTCCTCGAGTTTTTTGCCCATACACATGAGTATTGTCTAAAACATGTCTTCTTTGTAGCAGCTAGGCCCTGCCACCACTGTGCTTGGCTGAGTTCACAAATCTGTTGTAACCTGTAGCTTCCCTGTCACTTCTCTGGCTCTCCTCTCCTGCTAAGCTTTGTTTCCTGGCAGTAATTAAAACCTTCTGCCACTGCCATAGCTACTGCTGCTGCTGGAACCACCATAGCCACCTTGGTTTCGTGGTTTGGCAAAGTATTGGCCTCCACCACCATAGGGGCCAGAGCTTCTGCCTCCAAAATTTCCTCCTTTCATGGGTCCAAAATTTGAAGACTGATTGTTGTAATTGCCAAAATCATTATAGCTTCCACCACCTCCAAATCCGTTATAGCCATCCCCACTGCCACCATATCCACCACCACCTCGACTGCCTCCAAAGCCACCACGCCCACTGAAGTTTCCTCCACGACCAAAGTTGTCATTCCCACCAAAACCACCTCCACGACCACCACCGAAGTTTCCAGAACCACTTCGACCTCTTTGGCTGGAGGAAGCACTAGCCATCTCTTGTTTAGACAGAGCCTTCCTTACTTCACAGTTGTGGCCGTTCACAGTATGGTACTTTTGAATAACAATCTTGTCTACAGAGTCATGGTCATCAAATGTTACAAAAGCAAAGCCTCTCTTTTTGCCACTGCCTCGGTCAGTCATGATTTTGATCACTTCAATTTTCCCATACTGTTCAAAATAATCTCTTAGATGATGTTCTTCAGTGTCTTCTTTAATGCCACCAACAAAAATCTTTTTCACAGTTAGGTGGGCACCAGGTCTTTGAGAATCTTCTCTCGAGACAGCCCTCTTTGGTTCTACAACTCTTCCATCCACCTTGTGTGGCCTTGCATTCATGGCCGCATCCACCTCCTCCACAGTGGCATAGGTGACAAACCCAAAGCCTCTGGAGCGCTTGGTGTTTGGATCTCTCATTACCACACAGTCCGTAAGCGTTCCCCATTGCTCAAAATGGCTCCTCAGACTCTCATCGGTTGTTTCAAAGCTCAAACCTCCGATGAAAAGCTTCCGCAGCTGTTCAGGCTCTTTGGGAGACTCTGACTTAGACATGACTGCGGTGGGAGGGGAGACTTTATCGATGCTTACTCGGCGGCGTCCACGGGCAGAAAGGTCCATAACATATTTCTAAGACTTGGCCTCTGATAACTTTCTTAGCTTAATCTGTTGCTACCCCCAAGCCTCCAACACTTAGTAGTGCTTGGCATATAGTTTATATTTATTGTTTTAAAGACAAATGGTATTTTTCCTTACAAAAGAAAAAAAGAAAAAAATTGTCTTGTTTATTGCTGTATCCCCAGAGCCCAGAATAGTGCCAAGAACACAGTAAGTGAGCAATAAATATTTCTTAAATGAATGAAAGAATATATGTATCAGTTCTAGTGACTACAGAATGGGGATAAGAAAAATGGAAACTTTTTAATTCAATAAGCATCTCTTAGAGTAGCATATTTACAAGAGTCATATTCTAAGATTTGGCAAATTTAAGAACCAGCCACAGTGATCTCAGAAGAAAAACATTTTAAATGTGGAAAAAAATCACACTTGTTTAAATTTTACAAGAAACAAAATACAAATTCATAGTATCTTCATTACCTCTTATTTTCATGATTTTAAATTATGACTAATGCAGTGTTCCAAACTTAATCATTATATAATTAAAACAGATGAAGATAAGATACTTACTTTGAAATCAGGATGTCTATTCCAAAGATAGATTTCTTTAACATTTAAAGACTATTATTAAATAATCCACAGAGAGAAAATTTAAAGCTTGAACATCTAAGAAGCAAAAAAATATTTTAATTAAGAAGTTGATGAAAACAGTACCTGTAGATAATGATACATATTAAGGATAATCTCCAGATTGTTAATCTATATTGCATAGGAATGAGAAACACTATTTCAATAAAAATAAAAATACCTTAGGGAAAAATGTTTTAGGGACTCTTTTCAATTAAAGTATGAGATATATTCTCAATTCCCTGTATTACTGAATAGAAAAAGTAAATAATAGGTGCATCCTTTACAAATAAGAATGATTTATCAAGTGCGAGATAATTTTACTTATTATATCTATTCTCTCCACAGGATATATAAAGTTATGCCTCTTCCTCTTGGCATGAAATATCTCATAAAACTGGGTCACCTGGGTCACCTGGGTGGCTCAGTCGGTTAAGCATTTGATTTCAGCTCAGGCCATGATCTCACGGCTCTTGAGTTTGAGCTCCACGTGCGGCTCTGCATTGAGCGTGGAGCCTGCTTTGGATTCCCTGTCTCCCTCTGCCCTTCTCTATCTCTATAATAAAAAAAAAAATCTTTTAAGACTAACCATCTCCTTTGAGGAGCACCTGGAAGGTCAGTCGGTTGAGCTTCCGATTTAGGTTCAGGTCACCATCTTATGGTTCAGTTCATGGGTTCAAGTCCCACATTGGGCTTGCTGCTGTCAATGTGGAGCCTGCTTCAGATCCTCTATCCCCCTCTGTCTCAGCCTCCTCCTGGCTTGCGCTCTCTCAAAAATAAATAAAACATTAAAAAAAAAAAGACTAACCATCTCCTTTGAGATGACTGGCTAAACATTTGGGGATAACAAAACACAAGGTTCTATCCCTATTTAGCACTAACATCAAAACACAGTGCATGTACATTAAAGAGGATAATGTTTAAAAAACTAAAATCATAAAATATGTGTGAATATTTATAAAATGTTTAGAAAGTTTTGAAAACATTTCACCAACAGTGGAAAACATAGCGCAAAGTTTGAGAGATCATGATATATAAAAACATAAAAATAAGCATTAGCATTAGACTTAAATGAAGTTATTTATTTATTTATTTAGAGAGGGAGAGGGAGAGAGCGAGCATGCAAGCAGGGGAGGAGCGGAGACAGAGGGGGAGAGAGAACTCCAAGCAGGCTCTACACTGTCAGCATGGAGCCTAATGTGGGGCTCAAACTCACAAACCGCGAGATCACAACCTGAGCCAAAGTCAGAAGCTTAACCGACTAAGCCATCCAGGTGCCCCATTAAATGAGATTTTAATTTATTCACATGTAATAAATCAAATGATAGAACTGAGCTTATGATGAAAAGCAGTAAGACAATAATCACTCCCATGAAAAATGGGAAAAAGATGGGGATAACAAAAAGGATACAATTTATGACTAATAAATGACTAATAAATACATTTTAAAATGTTCAACCTTTTTTCTAACCAAAGAAATGCAAATTAAAATGAGATGCCATTTTTCCATAACCAATTAAGAGAAAAAAATGTAAATGCAACAAGGCAATATTTATATATAAAATGTTCACATTTGAAGGTAGTAATTTTTCTTTTAAGATTATCTTAAGAGTTTCTAGAAGTATCCAAAAAACCTTGGATATGCAAAAGGATTTAGTTATAAGGATATTTCTCACAGCTCTGTTTATAACATTGCAACATTGGAAGTAATAGGGGTTTGTTAATTATGGCACATTCAGGGGTGCCTGGGTGGCTCAGTTGGTATAGCATGTGACTTTTGGTCTCAGGGTTGTGAGCTCAAGCTCCAGGCTGGGTGTAGATCTTACTTAAAAAGAAAAGAAAAAAAAATGACGGCATAGTCAATGCTGCAATATTATATATCCATTTAAATAACACTAGAATATTAATAACATTGAAAAATGCTTACATCAAGTTTAAAAAGCAGTTTACCAGTTATTGTATAATATAATCCTATTTTTCAATCAATTACAACTTACTTTAACATATTTTCTTTTTTTCATTTAACATGTTTTCTATAACAAATGTGTATATCTTTTTTAAAATGTTTATTTATCTTTGAGAGAGAGAGAGAGAGAGAGAGAGAGAGAGAGCAAGCTGGGGAGGGGCAGAGAGAGAGGAAGGGAGATAGAGAATTTGAAGCAGGCTCTGCACTGTCAGCACCAAGTCCAACATGGGTGAGATCATGAATGGTGAGATCATGACCTGAGCCGAAGTCAGACGCTCAAACAACTAAGCCACCCAGGCGCCCCCTTTTTTTAGTAAGAAAACTGTTTTTCTATAAAGGCCAAGGAAATCACATTAGCTATCTCCTGCTCCAATTCTATACTCTCCAAGAAAACTTATCATTACCAACTTTTTTCCCCCCAGGCATTTCCATAACAGAAAAGGGGGTGCCCTGGAGTGGAGATGTGAACATTTTGTAAATTGCAAAGTGCTACCTCCCATTGTAGATTTCTGGTGATACATACAGCCTAGAAGAAAAATCAGAAGCCATTAAAAGATGGAAACAAATTGATTGAAAGGAAGAAAACAATAATAGGAATAAAGTATGAAAGTCAGGGACCTGGAAAAGAAGCTAAGGTATGGTCAAATATGTTTGCAAACCCTCAGAACAAATGTGAATCCTTAGTGATGAGAAGTAGTAAGAAGGTGATGGTCACTGCAGGGAAATATGGACAAAGATGCAGATAAGAAAAATCTACAAAAAAATACACATTAAAAAATAAAGTTTAGCCTCTTTTCTAACTAATTAACGCAAAACAAAATGAACATTAAAAAATAGCTTATTTTGAAATGCAATATCCCAAACTGTGCAGAGACTAGATAGCTTTCTGTGGTCGGATGTAGTCCTCAAAGTCCATTCTACCTCAAATTTCCTCATAATGGTTTGTCACAGTGCCTCCTTCTGAGTTAAGATATTGTTTGGGTAAGAACAGATTTAAATGTGTAAGTTACTATCAGTGAACACATCCAGAAACAGAGGTTACTTTGAATAGTTTCCGTGAGCAAAATCTTTAACCAACATCTTAAATATTATGAGTTTTGGTTTATTTTGATTGGAGGAAGACATATTTAAAAGGGTGAAGTCCTGTAAGACACTCTGGACAACCAGAGCTAGCCTAAAGGCAGTGGAAGCCAAAAAGACATAGCAGGAGGAGGCAGGATTGAACACCAGTATGGATGGGGCAAATTTATGTCATAATTCGGCATTCTGAAAATAAGTAATTTAGGCACATAATATCTTGAGCATGCCAGGCACCATATTAAGAGTTTCATGTAAACTGCTTTAACAATCTTATATGAAAATATTATTATAGCTATTTTAAAAACAGTTCATACTATATAGAAACCTAAACTGGGATTTCCTAACTCACACCATATACTCTAGAAATCAAAGATTTCACTGTGAAAGCATAACTCTAAAGCATATAGAAGAAAGTGTATAGAATATTACTGCGACTTTGGGAAGGACAACACTTTTTCAGTAATACCCACAAAACACAAATAATGAATCGAAAAAGTAATGTATTTGACTACATCAAACTAAAGATTCTTGTTCAACAACAAAACCTCATAAATAAAATTTATAGGTGGCTGCAAGGCTGGGAAAAATTATTTGCAACATCTAAAGCAGACAAGAGATGATATCTAGAACATAGGTTGTTCTGTAAACATTTAGTAGATATTTTAGGATTTCTGGGTGATAGGGTCTTTGTTGCAACTGCTCAACTCTGCTGTTGTAGCATGAAAGCAGCCATAGACAATATAAAAATGAATGAATGTGGTTGTGTTCTAAGAAAACCTTATTTATAAACAGAGGTGGTGAGCATGACTTGGCTTGCAGGCTGCAGTTTGTTGACCCCCTAATCTAGAATCTACAAAAAATTCTTATGGATCAATAAGAAAAATTTAGTAAACTTAATGGAAAACTAGGCAAGGGATATCAATAAGCAACTGGCAAAATGAAAGATCTAAATGGCTAAACAAGTATATGGATGTGCAACTTTATTAATCTGAGAAATGCAAATTAAAAGGAAGTGCCATTTTACACCCAACACATTTGTGAGAACATGAAAGTCAAGACAATTCAGGTGGAGGGAAGGGCCCGGAAAAACATGGAATCCTCATGCCTTGCTGATGAATTTCAGTTCTAGAGGGACATTGTGCAAAGCAATCTAGAAGTGCTAAGTGAACTTAAGTATGCGTTTCCATAATCCGAATGAAGGAGAGCTCTTTGATAAAGGGCAGCAGGCACTTTATAACAACATAAGAACATTTTCCTTATTTTGTAATTAGATACAACATATATTATTTTTCTCATTTCACTACGAACAGACAAAAACACCATCATAGACTGTCACTAGTCTACAGACCAGCTGTTATAAACCACTGTCTACTAATGTGCTTTAGACATGAAAAAAAATCTTAATATTCTTAGCATCTAATTATTTTGCAGCTTAGAGTTTCATATCTTTAAGAGAACTGGCTTTATGATACCAGATGAATGGAGTGCAAAGTTTACATAAATTTAATTTAAAGCAAGACTTCAATTTTGTAGGATAGACAGTTACACGGTTCTGCTCTTAGATCTTTCTGTGTTCTTCCTCCTCTAAGGTGTCAGGAGCATGTCAGTAGAAAACTGTGAGAAACAGCCAGTTAATAAGAAGGGACAACTATTGAATATCCATCAATCTTTAACTAAATAAAACTATGATATAAGGATGTTTTTTCTCTCTTTTCAATGGGAAACTAAATTAGACAATATAACCTGCTTGGTAATTAGAATTGCAGCTTCCTTTAGTCATTTTTTTTCCTACCTCCACCCTGAGTATAATCTATTGTGGCATTAGGTTTTGAAATAGAGGCTTTCCTTTCATTGAATTCATTTACCGTAGTCTGATAAAATATACAAAGGATTATTCAAATTATTATGGCCTAAACAGTAAGAGTAGCTTGCAAATACACTGATTAAAATGGCTTATTGTCTGAGAAAATATATCC